AGGCCAGGAGTTCAAGACTAGCCTGGGCAACATAATGAAACCCCATCTCTACAAAAAATTGTTAAAAATTAGCAGGCATGATGCTGTACACGTGTGGTCCCAGCTACATGGGAGGCTAAGGTAAGGTGATCACTTGAGCCCGTGAGGTCAAGGCTGCAATGAGCATGCCAGGCATGGTGGTGCACCCCTAAAATTTTAGCTACTTGGAAGACTGAGGTGGGAGGATCACTTGAGTTCTGGAATTCAAGGCTACAATGAGCTGTGATCACACCACTGCACTCCAGTCTGGGTGACAGAGTGGAGACCTTGTCTCTAAAAAAAAAAAAAACAAAAAAAGAATATTTAAAGGTTTGTCCATGTTGTACCTAAAATAATTTCACATACCACCAGTGGCACTTTGGACTGCTTTGGTGTTCATAAAGCACCTTCATGTTTGTGGTCATTTTAGATCCTTTCAATAACCCATAAAGATGTGCAGAATTATCCCCATTTTACAGATGGGAGAACTGAAGCTCAGAGAAGTGGCATCCCAAAGAATACAAATCACGGGTAAAGCCAGGTCCCAACCCTGGTCTTCTAATCTAAATTTAGCACTCCTTACATTATGCCATTCCCCAGCAACAGGACTTTAAAGAAATGGAATGGGGAAGTAAAGAATGAAAAGGGGAGCTCGAGGTCAACTCTGTTATGAGATCAATGATGTGGCTAGTGCTCCATTATTCTTTGATGTTTGCACAACAGCTCTGCTTCAGCAATAAGGAGCACCAAAGAATTCACAAAGAGGGGTGTTATCAAGATTAAAGCCTGCAGAAAAATTTAGTGTAATCTCCAGTTAACCAGCTGTATTTAAAAGTGATCTAGGATCATTGACCCAGGTTCTTCGTTTTTGTTTGTTTTTTGTTTTGTTTCTGAGATGGAGTCTCACCCTGTCGCCCAGGCTGAAGTGCAATGGTGTGATCTCGGCTCACTGCAACCTCCGCCTTCTGGGTTCAAACAATTCTCCTGCCTCGGCCTCCTGAGTAGCTGCGATTACAGATGCCTGCCACCACGCCCAGCTATTTTTTGTATTTTTAGTAAAGATGGGGTTTCACCATGTTGGCCAGGCTGGTCTTGAACTCCTGACCTCATGATCCGCCCACCTCGGCCTCCCAAAGTGCTGGGATTACAGGCATGAGCCACCTTGCCCAGCCAGATCCAGGTTCTTCAAATATGTACTATACCTCTGTTTCAAGGGTTGGTGTACCTCTCTGAAGGGTTTATGTCTTCTTTTGTCAGACTTTAAGTTTCTTCTGAGATACATGAGGTCCCACTGTGCTGACACCAAATCAAAAACTTAAATTACCAAATGTGTAATATGGGCCTTCTGAACAAAATAAGCAAATAAGCAACCAGAGATTTAGCCTTGTTCAGAAAAACTCTTAATCATCCACCACATAGTAATGTCTGGCTTTATGAATATGTTTCTATCTACACTGAACAAACTGTAAAACTATTTATGTTGAAGAATTATTGTATCTAAACAATTTGAATGAAAGAAGAGTTTTTAATAGTCAAAAAGTATTGGTAGGGCATGGTGGCTCATGCCTTTAATCCTAGCACTTTTGGAGGCCAAGGCAAGCAGATCACTTGAGCCCAGGAGTTTGAGATCAGCTTGGGCAACATAATGAGACCCCTGTTTCTATAAAAAAATTTTAAAAAATTAGCTGGGCATTGTGGCACATACCTGTGGTCCCAGCTACTCAGGAGACTGAGGTGGGAAGACTACTTGAAGCCCAGGAGGTCGAGGCTGCAATGAGCCAAGATCACGCCACTGCATTCCAGCCTGGCCAACAGAGCGAGACCATGTTCAAAAAAAAAAAAAACTAACATTTAACGTATGTGTATATTTATATATTAATAAGTTAACTGTGAATACATATAAATTCCAGGTAACTTTATGATTCTTAAATGACATGAGTAAGGAGTTACACCACGATAGCCAGTACTATTAGCATCATTGCTATCAGCATGAAACTGTGTGGGTAGATGATGAGTAAAGATAAAAAAGATAAAGCCCTCCTCTCCTAAATTCTCACTAAGATAGAGTTAAATAATTTGTGAAACTCCTGGCTTGTGATTGTACAAGAATACAAGATTTTAATTATAGATAAAAGTATTATCTTAAATTACTTGTTCCTTTAGTGTAAGTTTTATAAAAATATTTGTGTGTGTTTAACCTTTTTAATGTTACATTTATGTATTTGATTTCCTCGTATTTTTTAAATTTACAAGTTAGCTAAGTAATTTATAAGGGAGTGTTCATTAAACATGATTTCTATTTAACTAGAAGCTGAATTTATTTTGTTGTTCTCTGATACCATTTTGGGAGGGTATCTTTAAAATTTCTTGAATATTTTTCAAATGTATGAGTATTTCCCCAGAAAAAACATACACTCTTCATATATATTTCACAACACAGCAAAATGCTGAAATCCTGAAACAAACTAAACTTTCTTCTGAATATGTATGATCTTGTTATAGCAGAAATGCACAGCTGTATATAGCTTACTTATATTTAATTTCAGAAAGACTATCTTTGCTTTCTTTTTCAAGGTCATTTCAAGGTCATTTAATCCTTTATAAATAATATAGTTCATTATAAGAGTATGTTAGAGGCTTAGAGGCAGATTTAAATGAAGAAACCATGGTAGAGTATTAGTTCAGAAAAAATATCCCTGGAAAATTATTCAAGCATAAAAAAATTGAGTATAAATTTGGGCAAGTTGTCATCTAAATTTTGTAGAAATCTAATTTTAAATAGTTTGACCTAAATTTTTTAGTGTGCCTGTGTGTGTGTGTATTTTATATATGTGTGTGTAATTTTATATATATAAATGCTATATATATATATAAAATGACTATATTTCAATGTATGTTGGAGTTGGTATGGTGGAGAGAAGTTGAGCACGTTGGAGTCAGACCTGAGTTTCAATTCTGGCCATGTTATTTAAATGCACCAAGTCCCATCTGTAATAATATAAAAGTAATACTAGTTTGCAGTAGTATCATATTAAATGATAAAACAGTGCCTTTTACATAATAAATGCACAAGAAATGTTTTTACTGTCCCTTATTCCATAATTAATTAAAAATAAAAATTGAAGACTTAAAAAAATACTCTGACCTAACTTTGTTTTTTAAATTAAGACCAATGGGGTAAGTTTTAATTGCTGTGTCTTGCTTTGTTTCATTGTGAATCTGATTCTGTGACCAGATTAACCCCTTCTGAGATCCCTCGCTACACCAGTTTAAGTCTAATAGAAGTTTGTTATATAGCACAACTCCTTTCCTGCTGCCAAGAAGCTTATTTAAATATAAGTGGAATCATTTATTGATTACAAAACTGAAATATGCAAAGCATTTTTCATATCCCCTTCATGTGAGTGAATACAGGATGGAGGCTCATTTCTAACATGAAATGTGAAAGTGCATCCAGGCACCTTTTTTTTTTTTAAACAACACATGGATACATTTAGCTTACTTTAGCTTTTCCAGTGGTGCCAGTAACCCAATAGGACACTTTTCTTTACGTGAAGTGTTATTGGAACAAAGTTGTCTCTTGTGCTGCCACACAGTGAGTTGGGTATGTATGAACTTGTGTATAAGACATTTGTGCGGGCAAAATACAAAAACATGAAAAGGAAAACATTTCCGTTATTTGACTGCTTTTCTCATTGAATATTAGAAATGCTTGTTTTCAGACTTAATAATGAAATCCTCTCGTTAATCATAACTGTGTTCTAGATTTGAAGGGGTCATAGAGAAGTTATTTCTAAAGGACATTCATGAGTCAATCTTGAGGATACAAAGGCAAAAGTTAATAATCATTTCATTGCTTATTAATGTTTATTTTCTTACCCATGAGGCATTTTGTTTAACTCTGTATTTTTATATAACAGTGGATTTGGGGTTGGAGGAGAAATGAGGGTAAAGTGGCTGGCTTTCACCCCAATTAAAGAGCTGAGTTACTTGCCTTGAAACTATGCTTACACAGCAAGCAACACTATTTTTACTTAGATTGTGTGTGTGTGTTTACAGAATAAAAATAGCCATGTTTTTCTAAAAGTGTTTTTATTCCCAAGTCACATACAAGTTTTCCTAATTATTAGTTGTTTTTATTGTGGGGAGGTGGCTTCAAGAACCATGATAGAGATTCTCAGGGGTGTGTAGCAAAGGTTGCACGCTCCACACACACACATATCCCCCCACCACCCTTGGTGGCTGACCTCTGTTGACATAGCTGACTACACACAGACTGGCAGTCAGAAAGCAAGATAGGACAAAGGACACACCCACAAGGCATAGCAACACCCTTTTCTCATGTTTGATGGCCTCTGTACTCTGCCAAATGTGTACTAGGTCATGATCATTGCTGAATGCTAAGATAAGTGTTCAATAAGACTTGTCATATTTTAATTTTCACAGCAGTTCTAGCAGGAAGGTAGGTATTATTGTCCTCATTTTACAGAGGCGGAGACTGAGGCTCAGAAAATGTGTTTTACTCCTACAAGGAAGTGAAAAGTAGGATTCAAACTTTGATCTGTTGGCTCCACAGCCCACTCACTTCACTAACTACCACTCTTGTCTTCCCCTGATACTTATATCACAGTAGTCTGATACTACAGATTTGCAGTTGCTAAGAAAGTGAACCAGGATCTCTGATTTTTATGATTTTGTGAGTTGAAGGTTGTTTAAATTCCAGATTTTATTCCCAAAATATTATTTTCAAAATGTTGACAATTTTAAAGCCAAACAGCTTTTCAGTTCCACTGATGTTGCAGCCTGGAGCCACAGAATCAACCTCTAATGATTGAGTGAGAACAGAAGATTTGACAAGGCAGTGAAGGTTAAGGCTCCCCTCCCCACCAGTGCAGCACCTGCTCGTACGGCAGGAAAGTAAACACCATGTTTAACAATTACAGGTCTGGGTAATGTGGTTTGGTCTTCATACCTTCACTCAGGTGGAGCCCGAGAAGTTGAAGACACTAACGGAAGGTTTGGAAGCCTACAGCCGTGTCCGGAAAAGGAACAGAAAGTAAGCACTTTTTTTAAATTTTACTTTGTTTTTCAAGGATATAATTTACTGTTTATCCATCAAAGGGACAACGAAATCTCACTGATTCTGTCCATGTTGTGGCCTGCCTAAGTAAAGTTTGTTACCACCAAAGAGGACCGTTATAGACAAGCCAAATTAGTGATTACAGAAAATATCCTCTTAACAATTTATGTTTACACTCTGTGTAATATTTGCCTCTTCATCAGTTCTTTCTTCATTTCCTGCATCTTCATTCCTCTCATTTAGTGGAAAATAAAATATAATTCATATTCTCAACATATAGGAATTAAATAGGCTCTGGAAGTGTAGTGAATCATTCCATTTGCAATTCAAATAATTTGGGGAGTAAATATCCCTCGTTGTACACGTAAATAATTTTGGCAGATTAACTACTAGTCAAAGTGATGCGAAATAAAGATTTTTTTTGTTGTTGCATCAGGGGTGTGGACTTGAAAGTAAGTTTGCTTTGGAATTACAACAAGAAGTTGAATTTCAGGCCAGTATTATTAAAGTTTTTCTAAATATTTATTTTCTGAATAAATGTAGTACAGACAAGCAGATAATATTCGAAACACAGTTTTTACTGTGATACAATGTATGTTTATGTATCATAACTATTATTTCATATTAAGGTAGAGAACTACAAATGTGCTTCTCTATATGTACATAGAAAGCTATTTAAAAATGTGTAATTGATATACCTGTTCTGTTGCTATACTAATTTCCACATTATCAAGCACCCAAGAATTACATATTAATTAATTTTTATTCATTTGCAAAATGATCCTCACATTTCCCCCAAATATTGACACATAGGCTTAATGTGTTTATGTATTATCATCTTCCTAAAAATACCATTTTAACTTCTGTTTGTACATCAAGACTTACAAAGTGGAGATCAGAATGATTCATAGTGTATCTTGCATAGAAGGCTTATCTAATGATATCAGTAATATCTATTAGAAAGCATTCTCTTTCACTTTATGGTGTTTCCCATAATTCTGGCCAGAGGCATAATTTTAGAAGTCAACAAATCTTAGGAAGACTCTTCACCTCAATAAAAGGTATCCGAAAAGATGACAGCTGCAAGGGGCAAACTCCTATGTCTCTATGTCCTGGACTCCTTTAAAAGGTAGCACATTGGTACTGGTTGTGTGAAAGGCCAAGTTAATTGCCAGATAACATCCCTCTAGACCCGGTAAGGAAAACAGGGATCAGGGTCCCTCCTACTCTTACTGAAGCACACTTGCTATGCAGAGCTTAGCAACAAGATAAGGCCACTAAAATTAATACAAGGTCTGGATGAAAGGAGGAAAATTGCAAATTACCTACATCACAAATTTGCGGTGGGCCAGTTGCTGTAAACTATTCAATGGTACCTAATTTTTGGTATAAAAGAGCCCTAAAAATGTTTCCTACAGTGAAACATGCCAGTTACTTGGATTATGTACAAAATAAAGTTAATAACAGGAATAAAATAACTCCTCCAAATATTCAAATACACTGCCTTGAAATAAGCTGAATTTTCCCCATGTATTTGCTATTAAGCAATTTCTGAAAGGTAATGAGTAACAAACTACAATTTTAAAATTTTTTCTTCAAAGCCAGTTTCCTATTTGTAGTAAATTAATGTGAGATCTATCTAAAGGAATTCTCCTCATGATAACCATAAACTTAAAGTACAAATTGGAGAAGTAAAAGTAGAAAATACAAAACTAACACTTATAAAAAGAACTTTATTTACCATACTATTGTCTAAGCGGACAGACTTTCCTTTTCGATGCCTAGTAGAATGCTTTACATTTTGCACATGTAATTGTAAATTCATCATTTTATTCTCCCAGTCACAAGATGGGCCAAAATTACTGAGTCCATTTGCAGATGCGGACACTCAGACTGAAATAGTTTAAATAATTAGTTGAAAGTCCTACAACTGATAAATTATATGTTGAAACAAATCATTTTTTAATTTATGCATTTATTCCCAATTTAAGGAGACAAATTTAGCAAAAAATCTGTGCCAGGAACAGTGCTACAGTCCCTAAAGCTCACTGTTTAGTGAAAGAGACAGATGCAGAAACAAATAATTCAAATGTCAAAATTGCAACAACAGCAATATATACATACTATATTTTGGGGTCATAGGGAAAGGGCAGGTAAAGGAAGGGTTCCTAGAGGGGATGATATGTGGGCCAAGCCTTAAATACTACATAGGCATCAGCCACACAAAGGAAACAGAGACCAAGGTGGGGTGGGATAGCGTGTAGATGAGAGCAGCAGTTGGATTTTGAGGACTATAAAGTATCGAATGGGAAGTTATAAGAGGTATAAGCAGGAACCAGATCAAAAAGGGCCTAGTAAGGGCAAATCGAAGGTTTAACGGTTTTGGAAGTGCCTAAAGGGGGCAGGTGGTTACATTTTTCACCTTAGGTATGGCGGTGTAGGAGGACAAATTTTAAGGCAACAATATTGAAGATGAAGAGATTGTTCAGGAGCCATGGCAGAATACAAGGGAGAGCGAGGACCCAAACCAGGAGCTGGCGGAGTTGGGGATGAGGATGGAAGAGAAGGAATGTGGTCAAGAAATACTTAGGAGGCAAAATAGAAAGAACATGGGGTGATTGATCAGAATGTAAAGGAAAGGGAACAAAATCAAGGACAGCTCTCAGGTTTTCAGCTTGGGTGACTTGGTAGGTTGTAGAAACACTGACTGAAGTGGAGGTTACAGCGGGAAGCTGTTGAGTACAGTTTGGGGTGCCTGTAGGATAGGCTGGACATACATGCCTGAAACTGGGGAGAAATGGTATTTGACAGTGTACAAATGACTGAAGTCACACAAAGATACTTTGACCAATTTGAAGAATAGTAGGCTAAGGATTGAACATGCATTAGAATGAAGAAGATGGGAAGAATGGTCAGTGAGAAGGAGGAGAATCAGGGAAAGTAGATAGAGTCCCAGAAGTCAAAGACTGATAAAGTGATCAACAGAGGTCCAGTAAGACAAAAACTGAAAAATCTCCATCAGATTGGACAATTTGAAGGTCATTGGTAAACTTAAGTGAGAACAGTTTCCAGTAGAGTGATGCGTATACACACAAAGTGGCTATGGGTTGAAGATTAAATAAGAATAAGGAAATAGGGAGAGGAGATGTAGATTATTTACTCTTCTTTCTACCCATAATGTGAAAATTTTCTGAAAAATAACAAAGAAAGAATTTTTTAAATGACAAAGATTTGACTGCTTTTGTAGACTGAGGGGAAGAAGAAAAGAGGAAAAGGCTGAAAAAGGAAGGTGTCATTTGGAACAAGATAATTAAGAGGTTGGTTTTTTACCTGGACTCAAGTCCTGTTTCTACCACTTCATAGCCGTATGTTCGTAATCTCCCTGAGCCTAAATTTTTCATTTCTAAAATGGACATAATCCTACTTTAGAATTGCTGTAACATAGATAATATAGAGAGAGCCTCAGCACAGTACTTGGCACATGTCATTTAGTAAATAGCTATTTTTCTTATGAAGATACAGGTGAAAGAAAGAAAATTATCTGTTATTTTTGCCAGTTGAAACATTCTACCATGATATTAGATGTTTAGTCGTTTTAATCTTCAGTGTCCTCAAACTATACAACAAATAAATATCTTTAAATGTATGTTCTAATTATATCCTAATAGCAACATATTTATTTAACACATTACTTAGGACAATTTTGTACTTAAAAGCAGAAATAGCTTATTAAAGAAAAATTCCACAGCTTTTACATATGTTATGGTTTTCATTTAAGCAAGGAGCAAATCTTCTGTCTATAGGTATGTATACATTTCTTGGGAAACCTGATTTTTTGTGAATCTGGAAAACAGTAAAGTGATTAAATAAATCACTTTCACTTTAAAACCAAGGAATGATACTTACCATGTTAAATTTTCTTAGATCTTCATACATTCCCCAGGCATTCGGTTTCAGAGTGCAGGGTTCTTGACTTTTATGTCTCACCCATATTTGTTACGTACTAGATGAAGTGAGTCACTTAAACTCTAAACTGACAGTGAAGAACAACTTGCAATTTCTCATTTCCCTTCTATTTCTTGTACTATTCATAGATGTGTACCTGGCTTTTTTTAAAAATTAGTGAATTTAAAGATAATATATGACACTATAGCCAATGAAGTTGAGAAGTGACAATTATCTCCATTAATAATTAGAAATGTGATTATATGAACATCTGTTACTTAATCAAGTAGGTTTTAGAGTGTCCATTAGTAAAAATGTTTATTATTAAATGTCAGCGGGGAATAGAAAATAGTAGAAGAAACTCCACAGGGAGGCCCTCTGGACTGAAAGACTGAATTTTGACTAATTGTTCATTTCTTGAATTCATAGAGCTTTTTCTTCCTCTTTTAAATTCATTATTCCCTGACCTGACCAGTAGCTGGTCTGCAGATTTGACATCTGGGAGAGTCTTTCTTTATCTCTCGAATCTCATGAGGTATACAAATAATTTCATGCCCCACATCTCTGTATTTATTTTCTCTTCCAAAAGTAGTCATTTCTCCCTCTATTAACAACTAAGTTGTGTTAAAGGTGAAACATTATACTAGTTTAACTTGAATTAATGCAAAGTGTTTACAAATATTTTAAATATCTTGAAGAATGAGATGACAAAACTCCTGAAACTTTTTTTCAACAAGTAATGTTGAATCGTTTTTGTGTTTGAATGGTAATTGTTATTGCAATTTTTCATGGTTAGGTAAAAGTTTTTTACCTATGACTATTACTTTTGAAAACTATAGTCAAATATCCATTTTCTTCATTACAAAATTAGAATTGATTTCACCAATTCTCCTTAAAAAGTCATGAAGTATCACATACAGTTGTCATAATACCTATTCCATCAAATTGTTGTAAGGATTAAATGAGATAATGTATATAGAGTCTTAATACAATACTTGGCATGTAGACATTTTAAAATAAATAACAGGTATTTCTTTTACTAAGATTAAAGGTGAGAGAACCAAGGTTCTCTGGAGGTTTTTCGTTAAAACATTGTAACTTCATTTTAAATATTTAGAACTTTATATAGTCAATTTTAAACTCCTAAGATATTCTAATCAAAATTTATAATAAATAAATGTCTTTTAAAACTTATGTTAATACATCAAACTTATGTTCATACAAAAGAAATAGTAAGGATGAATTTATTTAACACATTACACACAGTGTGATATTGTCAGGCAACATGGCAATGATAATACTGTCAGAACCCTTGCCAAGCAGCCTCAGCAAACCCCAGGTGGCCTTACAGAGTGCTCCCAGGAGCTTGCTTGGCAGACACTTCATTAGGAAAACAACTGAGACTGACTCCATGAGATGACCAGGGCCCCTTGAAACTGGAATGGGTAGGTAAATGGAAGACAGTACATGCATAATAAAAAAACTTCTTACATAGCAGTTAGAAGGAATGAATAGATTATACAAACTAGATGGTATGTAAAACAGTTATAAGGAGAAAAAAAGTCAAGTATGTGTATCTGACACCTTTTGTGTGTGTATATTTTTAAAAACACGTATAAAACAATACTAAAGTACAAAAGCTGACTAAAAGTTGAGGGGAGAAGGTGAGGGAAAATGGGACCAGGATGGATAACAACTGGGGACTCCAGCTTTATTTTTTTAATATAAAAGACTTAAAGGAAATAGGTAATTTATTAACATTTCGTTCCAGGAGGGGAATATGTTAGGTTTATTTTATCCTGTGTACTCCTCTGCATTTTTAAATTTCTAAAAAAAAATGACAAAAATATAAAAGCTAAAGACTAGCTTACAGGGCAGCGAAAGGTAGAGGGGAAGTGGTTGATGCCATATTACCCTTATAATTTGGTTAAAACCAATATACTAATTTTTCCTTTCAGTTAAACTGACCTAAGTACATATATTTTTTTTTGAAACATAGGACCATCTGGGCCACCTTTGACAACCATTTTTGTTTAGCAAATACATAGAGCATCTATGACATGTCTAGCACTATGGTACTCAGGGGTGGAAAACTCGGAGTTCTCAAAGTGTAGACAGAAACTCAGTGTATACATTGTCCAGTCCTGGTGTGTGAGGATAAAACCTAGTGAAAGCTATGGTAAACTGAACTAAAGTTGAAAAATGTTTCGAAACACTCTGCTAACCAAACTAAATACGACAGTAAATCAAATTCTCCCACGACTGCAGATTTCCAGTCTCCATGGTAGATGCTGAGATAGGACTTAACTCATGGAAACCCATGCTAACCGCCTGTTACGAAAACGTTACCTCCAGCAGCTTTTCTAGTAATTGTCATGACAGGATAAATGAAAAAAATCACCTTAGTATTTGGAAAAAATAGGTAATTATTTATTTGCGTAGAGGAAAAACAAGTTAACAGTCAGGATGGGCAAAGTGTACATAACCACAGGGGTGGGTAGCACGGATTTACCCGATTTTAGTTCAACAGCTTCATAGATGTAAGCTTCAAAAATGGTAGATGCACCGTGTGTGTTATTCAGGCCAAACGTGTAATGGAATGCTAAGTGGAGAAAAAAGGTCAGAGAAGTGATAGGCACCCTGAGGCTGTCATTCTTTATCTGTTCAAATATTTACATCATTTTGGCCTTTGGGAAAATGCGCTGGGGGGGTAGGCTGGGAGCCTCAGGTGCGTTAGAGTTAAGCTGTTTCCCACCCTGGAACGGGCCCCGGGATTTCAGCCTTCACTAGCTCAACTCCAGAGCCAGAACGCTCCAGAGAGGGCAGAGGGAGCTCCCTAGTGGCCAGAGCCTGCAGTTCAGCACCTCCGCCCTTCCTCTGGTCACACAGCCAGGCTGCTTGAGAAAGAAACGAGAAGCAACGCAGGGCCGGCCGGAGCCAGGGAGCATGAGCAGTGTCTCTGGGAGAGGGACCCCGTGGCCCAACTTTCTTCCCAAATCACCAGATTGTGGAAGAAGCATGTGGAAGAGGAAGAAGTCCATCTCCCCGCCCGACAATCTGTTCAACTTTTCTTTTCAGTAGTTCTGTGACTTTAATCATTAGCATTCAGTGGTAAGAATCCCAGAGTGATGTTTTGTCATCTGAATTTTTCCAAACGCGAGTATAAATTGGCTTTCTCTCGTGGAATTGGTACTTTTGTTTTCTGATTAGGAAATTAAATTGAGTTTTGTTTCTTTAATTTTTTAATCTGGTGTGTTGTTTTCATTAATTCCAGAAGTGGAAAGCTAAATAACCATTTAGAAGCTGCTATTCATGAGGCCATGAGTGAACTGGACAAAATGTCTGGGACTGTAAGTTAATTTATTTTTCCATTATACTGTGTTTCTTAGAAAATAAATTATGTTACACTTTTTGGTAAAGTCTCTTGAATATTGTCAAACAACTCACGTAGCAATACTAAATTACTAGCCTAGAAAAAGAAGACAAATATCAGAAAAGATTCAAAGTCATTTAAGGGAAAAAAAAAAAAACCTACTGCATTAACTATGTCTTTCTTCCTGAGATAAGTAACTTTTGTTTTGCCACATAACATTCTTTTAAAATATGAGCAGCAAAATATTGATGTTCAAACCACAGCTTTCTGCACTTGACTCTGTGAATGGCCGTGGCCATTACTGTTGCCTATATATTTAGTAATGCAAATTTTGTTCTGTCCTTTGAACCAAAAGACAGTGGGGGTCAAGATCAAGAGTATATAGACCTCTCATATCCCATTTTTATTGAACTGTGCATGTAATAGCATTGAGTGTGAGAAGTTTAATCGTTATCCTCCAGTTCACACATTGACTGATGTAAATACTTAAAATATAATTTTGGTAATCTGTTAAAAATGTGAATTGTCTAGACTATTTTGCATGAAAAATAATTTATTTTATTTGACCTTATGTTACAAGGTTATCTGAATCCCAACAAACCATCCAATGGCAATTGAATGATGGGATTAGTATGGGTTTTAGAGATTTTGTAATCCAACCAACCCATCATTTCGCAGATGGGTGAATTGAAGCCCTGAGACATTAAATTTCCTGATAAAATTATAGGAAAGATCTAGATTGGGGACTATAAACTCAAATGTTTTCTAGGGCCAGTCAAATAGTATCAGTAAGTAAAGTGGGCCAGGTATGAGAAAACAGCAGTTGGAATGGATAAGAAATGCCAGTGAAGATCCATGGGTTAGGGTAGGCTACCAATCTAGAGGCTCAGCACAGTAAAAGCCATTACCCACCTGAGTCTGGTGCTGGTTGAGGAAGGGGTTGCTCCACACCAGCGCACAGATTCTTTCTTTATCTAGTGACCACCTCTCTTAGGACCTCAGAGTGCTTCATTATATCCTTTGCATTTTGCCTTGAAGGTAAAAGAAAAGAGCATGCTAAGAATACTGCCAGCATAGGTTTAAGAGCCAGACCAGTCATTCTATTGACTTTCCACTGACCTGACCTAATCACATGATCTTCTTAAGTAGAATAGGAAATAGAGCATAGAATGTGCCTGCCCAGGAAAAAGAGAAAATGAGTTTGGCCATCGTCTCTCTAGACTCTGCCTCAGGACATTTGGCCCTGGTGGAAATCAGGTAGTTGAGAGTAGTAAGGGCCGGGGCAACCTAGGAGGCATGTGCTGTCTCCAGAAGGCATTCCGTCCATGCTCCAGCAGATCTTAGACATCTGGGAAATTGTGTTCATGTTGCAAGATCTTTCCATTTTTCATACAAAACTAGAAGTCTAGAGGTAAAATTTCTCATTTTTATGTGTTGACAACTGTTTTAAAAAATATTAAAGTGCCATATGGCTAAACAAAATACCATTTCAGGCCACATTTGGTCCACAGATTACTAGTTTGCAGTCTCAGTTATAAAAAGTTTCTTTCCTCAGTTGTAAAAAGTTTTGGCTCTTTACTACAGACTAGTGGCTTTTAAAAATGTGTATGGAAAAGATTAGGAGGAATAGGCAGATTGAAAAACCCATAAATATTATTTAAAATTTGAAAATATTATTTTTTTAAAAAGCATTCTGCATTTGAGTCTGGATAGCATTGCCCTTTGCTGTTGTCTAAACATTATTTTTAAGCATGTAATTGAGCCAACTTGTAGTGGATCTTGAGAGTCAATTGTACTCATCTCTTCCTAAACCTAAGTCCTGTGACATAAGGTTGGCCAGGATAAAAGTTTTACACCACAGAAACTGGCAAAATGCTACAATGGACTTGTGTCCAAATGCTGATAAAGCATTTGCTACACCACTGCCTTGGGTTCATCCCTCCTCTCCTGGGTCTTGGACCTTGCTCCTTCCCACCGATAGCTATGAGACAATTTGATCACTCCCTCCTCCAAATTATATCTGCTATCTAATGCTGCTCAGCCGCTGCTCAATCTGATGAACAGCACTAAATGTTGCTAGTTCCTGCATTAGTACATAAAGAAAGGTGAATTGTATTAACTGCTCCTCCCAGACTACACAATTTCAGATCTGCCAACAGATGATAGTGGTATTCTGTTTTCCATTTTGATTCTTCTCATGAACAAACATCCTTAGGCTGAGCTATGTGTGCATGTTCTTGTAATTTGTGACCCTTCCTAGTCATTGTAAAATAAGTAGGGTAACAAAGGGAAAAAAAAAGGGGCATGTTTGTTGTATAATTATTCACTCTTCCAGGCTGTAGTGAAATTGGTGATCTAGGGTCTCTGACAGGGAAGGCTTTATTTTTGTTTTAAATGGACAATGGGGTAACAACTGCACATTGCATTTCCCATACTTGATTTTGTCCAGTTCATCCTTTGTTTTCCACTGTCTATTGGCACCCCCAGAGTGTTGCACTGCTTATGAGTTTCTAGCATTCTGCATTCTCTGTAGTGACTGTGGGCACACTGACATCTGGGGTCTTGGTAAACATTTGAAGTGCCTCAGGATATCAGTAATTGAAAGTGAAAGCCAGAGTCTACTCCCTACCCTGTTTCTTTGTCAGAAATTGTATGGTGTTTGTGATTTCATCCTCTGTTGTTGTTGTTTTTTTCCTACCTTTTTATTTCCAGGTACACCAAATCCCACAGGGTGACAGACAAATGAGACCCCCCAAACCCAAGAGGAGGAAGATCTCCAGATAACAGAGACTACTCCACTAATGCGCAGTGTTTAATAAAGGAACATGCACAGATGTATCTGTATATAGGTATTGATATAGCCACTGTTATATCAATATTTAGACTATGGCAGATAGCTACCACCACCACAGGGTGCTAAAAGAAACAGTGATACAGAAGTTTTTTGATCAGGAAGGATAATGAATGCTGGAAAAACCAATCAAAATATCTGTGTGATGAGAGTGATAAATGGTCAAGAGATTACTGAGAAACTCTTTTTCTATAATACTAAATTGTGATTATAAGAAATAGTCCAAATGTTTCTGAAGAATTTTCAATGTTGTATATAGAAAATACAGAATTTCATGGTGATATCAGAAATGTAAATATTGTACAATATTGTCATGTACAAGCGTACCTAATGCACACTTTATCTTTTATTGTACAAAGAAATAGTGTACAAAATTCTTTGGTTTCTATGGAGTACACCTACCAGAGACTACCAGTGTAAAGTGATAAATAAAAATACAACCTAAATGCTTTTCTATGATAATGTAAAAGATGCTGTTTTTGTATTTAACAGCAGAGAAAAGGCATGATGATGTAATATCTGAATTATGACATACACTGCACACCACTGAGTGTCCATTTATATTGTGTGTTTGGAATGAACCTTGCCTGGAAGCACTGGACTCAATTTCGGGTGTCTAGGAAATTGCAACCTTGCAGATTTCTAAAGGGAAGAGGGCTCACAGGTCTAAATTAAGAATTCAGAAACTGCAACCATTTGTTGCATATTTTTTTTACCTAAGTTTTAAAATAGAATAGGTTTTATAAAAAAAAAATCTTAGATGGAATATTTTACTCAGCCATTTCTGTAGTTAACGTTTGATAGCCACCTGTTGAAGCAGATAGCTTATACTGACTGCACCATCGCTGGTGCTCAGAATTGAGGGGATTTTTGCAAATGATATCTGACAAGGTAAAACTTTCTATTTCCATACATGGAGGCAAAAGCCCCACTTTGCAACCATTATCAGAGGTAAGGTTGATTATAATTCTTTTTTTTTTTTTGTAGTGGCAAAAATAAATATGAATCATCAAAGCAAGTTTCATATCCATTCATCAGTATTACTTAACCCAGAAGTTAAGGTGGCTTACAAAATTATTAGCAATGGTAATTTTTTTATCAGTATTGTGTAACATATCAGATTTATTTTATTTAAAGAATTATTTATACCATTAACAGATTCTTATATATATTAATGTGGCTAAAATGTGCAGGTTAAATCTATTAACCAAATTATTTATATTATATTAAGTAAGAAAAAATGTGAAACAAATGTAGAGAGAAAATACTACATTACAAGTATACAAACCTAAAACTGTGAGCCATTGTAAAGTACAAGGTAATTAATAAGAAATGTAGCACAACATAATTTTCCGTCTTCTTCTCACAATTTTTGTGGTGGTGGTATTACCCTATCTTCTAGGCAGTTAAGCAAAGTTTAGGCTTCCAGCCTGACTTCAGTTGATGGGTTGTGAAAAGAAGGGATCTATTATCCCTTTATTCTTGGAACCACCAGTCCCTGCCCCAAACCCTTAAACCCCTAGAGAGCACTGTCTTGTCCTCTAGCCTGGGGCTCACGCAACAGTCTGCCACTCAGGCTGCTAGGAGGTTCTCCAATAGCAGGCTCAGCAGCTCAACCTGCCCACCACCTCACCTACTGCTCCTCTCCCACCCACCGCCCAAACTCCTCAGTCCTGTCATGTAGCAGAGTTCCAGTAACTCAGGAAAATGGAGACCAAGGTCATTCCTTGAGTTGGTTTCTTAGGGCCACAGCACAGAGCATGCCACCTGGGCTCGCTTTTGATAGCAACAGCTCTTAGTTATTCCCCTAGGTCTCCTTTGTCTCTCTGTCCCTCTGTTCCACTTTCAACCTACCCCCAAGCCTGATGGAATGCAACTGGCTACCCTGGGCTTCATGACCTCAAAGTAGGAACCCTTCCTTCAGGGGGTAGGTTCATTTTGTCTCTCTTGTAATGGTGGGATTGCCTGCCCAGTTCCTTCATGCAGTCACAGGAAGTAATCTTTTGTGTAGTTTAGTTGACACGTTTATAAGTTAAAAGTTGATGTGGCTAATATGTTTAAACCATTAATGTCTTTTTTTTTTTTTTTTTTTTTTGCGCCAACCTGTTTTTCTACTGTTTTTTTCTACACATTTTTGTTTGTTCACAGACAGACATACATGTGTGTTTGTAGGCTGGATGTGTCTGTATGTGTGTCTGTGTTGACATGTAGATTTTTTAGCCTTTGCTTTTCTGTCTTCAGGCTGAGTTTGTGTTGACCAAGCCTTCTTTTTGGTATTTTGAGCTAATTCAGTTTGTGCTTCCCTCCCATTGTATACTTTACATCAGTAGACAATGTAAAGTATGTTTGTGCCCATGATTTCACTGGTTGCTCTGGCTTTGATATGGGTGCTAGGTGTAGTAGTTTCAGTCCACGTGGGTTTTTTCCCTCTCTCTTACAATTATATGGTTTTGTGTAAGCAGTTAATGTAAATATTGTTAGCATTACAGGTCATACAGTGCTGTAACATTTTTTAAAATGTTGCACCTACTTTACAATTAAAAAATTGGTCACTCACACTTCAATTTTGCCCATAGAGCCATTTCTTTCTCTTTGTATTGAAGCCAATTCATTTTTTTAAATGAAGGCTAGGCCTTCTATGTTACCAAAATTTTTATTCCCTAAAATAAACTTTTTTTAAGAAACAAATCCAAGAATGGAAACAGATGAAAAAATTTTTCTTCTTTAAAGAACATAATAGTTCCTGCTGGAAAAGGAAATCTAATTTTATTTTGTGTCCCTTAACAGTCTTAGGAAGCACAAGGAGAATAAACTAAACCTCTGAGAAGGTTTTAAAAATTATTTCAAATGAGTGGAAAATTAACTGAGCAGATTTTGTGTGATTTGTCTTGTTTGTAGCATTAAATGCAAACCAGGGTTTTTATTTATTTAAAGGAACATTTTTGGCTTGTACTTTTTAGTACCATTATGAATGAAAACGCTTTAAGAACATTCATCCCTTGTGATATCATGGGCCACTTTTAGTCTTTTATTTGGACCCTGACTTTGAGTTTTTGCTATGTCTGTTTTTTAAGTAAACACAGCCTTCTTATTGGAACGTAACACTGCAGAATTGCAGGAGGAGAAGAGGGCAGTTATTTCACTTTCTGTAAGTTTTAGGAAGATTCTTATATCCTATGAGGTGACTCATTTTTCATTTTAGACCATGATAGCACATTGTTGTTAACTTTGGTAATCTTCCATGCAGTTTGCAGTGTTCCCTTGCAAGTCACAAGCATATATGCATTAAGATTTTAAAATCTAAGATGCTTAAGATGTTGGTGGCATTGCTCTTTCTGAAAAGAAAGCCAAAAGACTAGGCCTTGCTCAAAATTGGATATCTTGTTTACTTTGCCCATTTATGCCCAAATGGTGTAATGCAAGACTCAAGACTTTTCAATGTAGTATATCAAATGAGTTGTGCATTGATTCATTTGGGGGACATGAACAAAAATTATCAACCAGCCAGAAGTGTAATATTGAATTAGTTTATCTTTTTCTTTCATTCATTCTATCACATTTGCATTAGCCAAAGAGATAAGAACATTAGTAATTCATATGTGTAAACAACCCAGAAGTGAATATTAAATCAGTGAGCCAAAAAGCAATAAACAACTCAAGCATGGGAAATCCTGCTAACAGTGGGGAGTCTGATATAAAAAAAATATATAAAAAGCATTATCTTCAAATATGAAAGATTAATTTGTATCTACTGTAAATATGTATTACCAGCCTTATCTGCATTTATACACACTGTGTGTGTACCTCAGTGACCTTTTATAAACCGGAAAAATGGTTGATTTAATAATTTGTTATGTAAATACAAAGTTGTCTATAAATTGGAAAATTTGATGCCAGATGGCTTCATAATATACAAATGTGTTTTGTAACATCATGCCTTTATGGATTAAGTATAAATACACTGGATTGTCTATGTAGAAGTGTAGCAGTTTACATTTCACCTGCATTTCACATGGATATTTTTGTCCAAATGGTTATACTAATAGGAAAAGAAAATGACTTGAACATTTTCAATATGAAAAACAAATATGGTTTTGATTTTACCAAAATTCCTTTCCACACCCAAGAATCTGTTAAGTTCCATGCCAAATGTTTTGCATTATGAGATTTCCACAGGAGATTAATTGATCCATGACAGGGATCTACCTAGGAAAACTCTCCAGCTGAATTATTCTTTTTGAGAGACAAGCTACACATCTTTCATTCTAACAGTAGGCCGGGGAAGAGCCCAGCCTCTTATTGCTTTTTAACTTATTCTTGTCTTTGTTTCCACATGTCTTAGAAAGCACCACACAGATGAATGGGGTCTAGCTTTTGTGAGCAAAGGTGGCTACAGAATGTCGCCTCAACCTTGGGCTATTGACTTGGGCAACCTAGGCTTCCCAGCTTAGGTACTGTTGATGTTTTGGGCCACGTCACTTTTTGTTCTGGAGACTGGCCCATGCATTATTGGATATTTGTCAGCATCCATGGCCTCTACTCACTAGATGCCAGTAGAGCCTCCTCCTAAATTGTGACAATCAAAAATAACTCCAGACATTACTCCCAGGGTCAGAGGTGGAGGTGGGGTAGGGGAGGGAGGGCAAAATGAGATTTGAAAACCACTACCTTGATGGAATCAGTTAGGCTTATGTCTGTGTGAAATATGGGCATATTTGCATGCAGTAATCAACAGGAACCTGATTCCTAGAAGCAGCCAAAATTCATGCCAAATGAGTGCTTCTCAGTCCGTAGATAAAGGAGTAAATACATTAATGTCAGATTTGCTTTGAACACCTTTGACACTTTCGATCCTAAGACTCAGGACGATCATGTTTTGAGGATGCTCAAATAGTAGTTTAGTAGAGATACCTAAATACTCATGGCTCAGAGTTTACAAGAAAACTGATAGCTCTCTTTGGGTAATACAAGGAGCTTCAAGTAATGGAAGACTTCTAGATGATAGTGTAGCTGCCTCCATTAGGCCAAAATGAGGAACTGGGCTAAGGGGAGCATGTTATGTATATATTTTAACAGCTTTCTACAGCAGCCTACTTCAGGTGTCAGTTTTTGTGCAATCCTCTTATAAGTTCTGACAGAAGCAGTTCCGTAGAGCTTGGTGGTATTGTGGATACATTTATTCATTCAATACATTCTTTTTTTGTTTTGTTTTGGTTTTTTTTTTTTTTTTTGAGACGGAGTCTCGCTCTGTCACCCAGGCTGGAGTGCAGTGGCCGGATCTCAGCTCACTCCAAGCTCCGCCTCCCGGGTTTACGCCATTCTCCTGCCTCAGCCTCCCGAGTGGCTGGGACTACAGGCGCCCACCACCTCGCCCAGCTAGTTTTTTGTATTTTTTAGTAGAGACGGGGTTTCACCGTGTTAGCCAGGATGGTCTCGATCTCCTGACCTCGTGATCCGCCCGTCTCGGCC